TCAGCATAATTACTATTTGAAAGATTTTTTCCACTATTATATTAGCATCATTTCTATACTAAAATCTTTGAAGTAATTTGTTTTCTCATTAATTTTTAATCCTATTGCTTCTATATATGCCTGATAATCTTTGGATTGAATGCCAGATAATGGTAAATTCACTCGGGCAGTTGCTGAACAATTTTATGTTCCTATATACCTTCTCGAAGCTGTTCTGGAGGAAGAATAGGACCTCTCAGTCAATGCATAGACTTCAACAAATGCTGTGGAATCTTAAGATTTTCTATCCTGACATGTACTAGTAAACTTCTTTCCGACTGTTTTCTATTCTTAGTTACTACATAAAAAACCTTTGGGTGACATTCCCTTAGTCCCCAGTAGTATCATCACATGGACATAGCCATCAGTACCATACTGCATGCTGGAGGACTCTGTCACTCTTCAAATTTCTTGAGCTGCACAGCTTCCCCTATTTAGTGCTTTGGTTTTTTTTCAAAATATAAATACTTTCTCTCCCCAATGCTCAGATGCTTTGGATCATTTCAAGAGTCTAACACACCCCGTTTTGGTAGCCTTTCCTTATCTTGTGGCCTTGTAGCTTCCTTAATTCTATAAGCAGGAATGTCTCAACAAATTCTTGTCAATATCACTTGTTCATTTGTTTCATTTACATATTGATTTCCTCTCTTTCTTTTACCAATGGTTTAAGTTTTAACATTGAAATTGAGGTACAGGGCATGATTCTTCATAGTTATTTGCTACTTAAAGACTTCTCAGTGTGGACATTCAGGTGACAGACAAGAAGTTGGTATATACTGTTTCTGATTAAGACTTAAACTTGGGAAAGTGTCATATGAATAACCGTCTTAAAGCCTCTGTATATACCTACATGAAAGCTTCTATATTTTAAAATTAATTTTAATATTTATTGAAAAATCTAGCCTTAAACATTTTTCATTCCTCCTCTTTTTCCTTTTTAATATCTTTATAAGTGCATTTAGTTTAGGCTGAGGGAGGAAACTGTTTGCAACGTTATACATCGTATGTAATGTGTGTGACATAAAGAGGGAAAGATTACAGTGAGTCAGCGGTTTTCATCATTCAATCCTTAAATTAATAGAATGTGTAATATTGGAGGGAGCTAATTTTTGTATATTAATTATAAACAATCCTCAGTGTGTTAATGGGTATACATTGTTTCTGTGTTAAAATTCAACAAATGAACAGCCAATTTGTGTTTAAATCCTTTTATATTTAACTCTATCTCAGAATCAATAAGAATACAGTTTGACTGACATAGAGAGATGACCAAGACTGAATTCTACAAATGCCCACAAAGTTAAACTGATATTTTATGCGTATTATGGAACAACTGAATCATTAATTCAGAGATATCAATGTGTGATACAGTCTAATCACAAGGGTAAATATTCTTCTGTGAAAATAGAAACATAAAATGAGGGAGTAAGATGAGAGAAACATTATTTTGGGCTGCAATTAAGTTTTGAAAGTTATGTCCCTCTTCTACAAAAAACACTCAACAAATAGATCTCGATTTTCAATTATGTATAGTGGTGTTCCACTTTGAATATGTCACAGAAAAAGTGACTTCTAAAGAATGTAATATTGTATAAAGATTGTAGTATTATTAAAATTGTGAGAATCATAAGTTCTTATAAAAATTGGAACATATACAAGAACTATCTTGATAGAATAAAGGAAATTGTGGGAAAAAAATTGAGATACAACCTCCAAGGTTGTACTGTATATGAAAAGGTAATTAAAGAAAACATACGCTAGGAAGGAGATATATTTGAACCATGAATACCCCACATACAATGCACATGCACGTGACATCTACAAAGTTTCACTAAAAAAGATAATTTCAAAAGAATACTTACTCACCACTTAAAACAGCTTCTGAAAGAATGAATACAGTGCTTCTTCCACTGGTTTCTACTTGATGTCTTGACTGGATGAACTAATACTTCTGGATAAGGACCCGAAGAAAGGTGTAGTCGACATATCTATTGATTATCACAAAAAGTTAATGTTCAGTGCACCAATCTTTAGCTGATAATAGAGGTTGTGAGGTTTTTCACTCATTTTATTAGACGTACATCTTTTCTCCAGAATCGTATATAAGCCAGCAGCAAGTAAGTATTTATGTGTGATGAAGACATAGAGATCTAGACTCACTCAGAATAGAGGGAAGGAATGTTGGAAAGGCAGAGGGAGAAGGTCAGAGAAAAGAGATCTGAAACGTAAGATAAACAATTATAAAAGCCCTTATACACATATGCATTACCAGACCTCCTTAAGTGTCTCACAGGTAAAAGAATATGTCTGAAAATTGTTACTTGTAAAACCACATTCAATCTCTTTCTAAATCTAGGGGAACAGAAAACAAGAGAAACGTGCTCAACACACACTGTCAGCCTCAGTCAGAAGCCCAGTGTGGGAGCTCTGCCAGCCTGCTCAGGCTCAGTGGTGCAGTCTTCAGGTTCATGCGTGGGTTTTGGTTGAGATTTCTGGTTTTCAGTCTGAGCAGTTCTGCATCTGGGATTTCTTTCTGTACATTTACAGCATCGCTCTGTTTAGAAATTATCTTCTCCTGGTCATTTTGAAAGCCAGGATGTCCTCCATGGCCACAACCTCTTAAAGCAACGAACTTTGCTCTCAGAACATTCATCCTAACCAAAATGCTAGGGATGTTTGGGGTTAATCTGACTAGAATATATGTTGATGTTTGTCTCATACACAAGTGGCTCATCTGCCCATTACAATTTGCTAATGCAATGAATACCATTAACGAATTTTCAAATAATGAAACAGGTGTGTGTATTTGGGATAAATGGTACGTTTTAATGTAACATTACTTTTATAAATGGCTTTATTTTAATTTTTAATATCTCGTCGATTTATACATGTTTGTTAATACGAGAGAGTGGTCTAATTTTCCCTTTTGTTAACAGTTTTTATGACTTGATATTAGTGCTCCCTCTACTTGTATCTTGTTGTTCGTTTGTCTGTTGTGAAACAGGGCCTCATCATGTAGTCCACGATAACTTTGAACTCAATATATCAACCTCTAGCTCATGGAGCTCCTCCTTCCTTGATCTCCCAAGTGCTAGTACTACAGGAGTGCACCTCCATGCCAGGCTTGATTCCATTTTTTTTTTCAAAAAATTGATACTACTTCTTTAAATGTTTTCTAGAATATCAATAAGCCATCTTGGCATATGGATTCATATTTTGGAAGATTATTGATTTATTTCCTAATGTATATTTATATTTCTTTTGCTTTGGTTTATGTTTTTGTGAACCATATCTTTCAAGAAACTGACGCTTACACACTTGCCAAATGTGTGCTCTAGATTTCTTCAGAGTACACACTTGTTATATCTCTTCAATATCCATGTTGTTGAGTCCTAAGAACCCCTATGTTAGTTTTATTATTAATTCATTCTATTTTCATTTACCTATTCGCCTGTCCTAAGGCTTATCAATATTTTAGATGTTTCAAGAAAGCAAAGATACTTATATTTCTTCCCTAAATTCAATTTCATCGCTAATTGTTTGAGATTTTATTACTTATTTTATTTGTTTCACATTTTTAAAATTTTATTTTCATCCACATGTTTGCCATACATAATGCTTACATTCACTGTGAGGAGGGTGTACATGTACGTAACACTTCTTAATTCATTTTCTTCCCCCACCTTTCCTTCCTTTCTCGCTATGTCTTGGCTTGGCTTAAATTTCATTTTCTTCTCTAGTTCTTGAAGTTAGAAGCTTGTATACTTTACTTCTCTTATAATGCATACATTTAATGTTATAGATTTCCTGAATAAAAAGAACTTTGATTATATCCCAGGTACATTATTAAGTTGTATGTTCATTAGTTCAAAATATGGACTTCAATTTTTTTCCTGGAAATAACTTCCATGACTTGTGTGTTGTTTAGGAAGATGTTATTTAATCTTTTTGCATTTGGGGTTCTCCAGATATATTTCGGTTAATTTTTATTTAATTCCACTTTGGCCTGAGAACATATTTTGTACCATTTAAGTTTTTCCATATCTGTTAACCTGTATTTTATGACCCAGAATATGATTTATTTTTAGAATCTTGACTGTAAGCTTGAGGAACACGTTGGTTTTGATGTTCATTGGAGCAATATATAAATGACAATCAGATCTGGTAGAATGATGACGTATTAATTCTTTCTTTACACATATTCTGCCTTATGGGCCAATCTCTGCGAGCTAGGAAGTCAAATTTCAATTGTAATTGTTTACATCCTCTTGTAGTTCTATCATGTTGCCCACACATCGTGAAGCTCAGTTGTTAGATCCATACACATTAACAGTTGATAATGCATTTACAGATGACTAAGCCTTTATCGTTACATAAGATCACATTATTTTTATAATTTTCTATAGCCTAATGTGCTTTGCATAAAATGAACATAGTTGCTTGAACTTTGTTTAATTAGGTTGCACACATATTTTTAAACACTACTTTAATCAATATGTATTTGTATATTTAAAGTGGATTTCTTATGTACAATACACAGTTATGTATACAATGATATTTCAGCAACTGAGAAAAGGCTTACATTTAGTAGGTATATTTAGACAAATTATATTTATATGGTTATTGATACAGTTGAGTTAATTAAGATTTACCCTGTTTGTAGCTGTTTACTGTTCATTACATTTCAAAACTTTTTTCTTTCCTCTTTTTTGTAATCAGTAAATAATTATTGAATTTTTATCTTAAAATACCAATTTTAAAGTGTGTGAAAGCATGAAATAAAATTACAAAATTATTTGTATTACCAATTTTTATAAAAAATTTTAAAGTAGAAAAAAATTTACAAGATCAAATATACCTGATAAAAATAAAATGTAATTAAGAAATTTGAAAAATAGGTAAATGTTCATGCACTATGGCTTCATAAGATAAATTCTGCCAACATAGGTTGTACTGAAATTTTATTTCTCAGAAATCTTGTTTGGAAAGAAAAGACCAACCACGCGGTCACGAATCTGCTTGGTCTTGACACCATATACCAGGGGATTAACCGCTGGGGGCACCAGGAGATACACACTTGCAAAGATTATATGCACGGGGGCTGGAGATTTAGCTCAGCGGCATAAGCACCTGCCTTGCAAGCAGGCAGTCGTGAGTTCGATCCCTGATACCGATAAAAACGAAAAAGACAAAAAAAAAAAAAAAAAAAAAAAAGATTATATGCACGCTTGGAGGCACTTTCTTGCCAATGCGGTGAGTGAGGAAGCTAAACAGTGCCGGCGTGTAGGAAACAAGTATAGTGCAGACATGGGCGGCACAGGTGCCCAAGGCTTTAGAGCGGGCATTCTGGGAAGACAGCCGAAAGACTGCCTGGAGGATTTTGATATAAGATGTGGTTATGAGACCCAGGTCCAATATCATAACTGAAAGGGCTACAGAAATTCCATATGCTCTGTTAATAGAAGTATTTGCTCTGGCCAACTTCACCACAGCCATGTGCTCACAATAAGCATGACTGATGATGTATTTTGTATAGTATGGCAACCTCTTAATGAGAAGGGGACCGGGCAAAACCATAAGCATAGCTCGGCTGATACCAGCTAAGCCCATTTTAATGACCGTTGATGTTGTCAGGATAGTTGTATAATGCAGTGGAATGCAGATAGCTACATAGCGATCAAAGGCCATGGCTACTAGGAAGGCTGACTCTATAATGCACAGTGTGTGGATGAAATACATTTGGGTGAGGCATACATCAAAGTCAACCCAGTGGGCCTCAAGCCACAAGATGCCAAGCATCTTTGGAGCCATGGAAGTGGCAAGAGCCATGTCATTCATTGCCAGCATGGAAAGGAAGAAATACATAGGCTGATGAAGGCTTGGTTCTAACTTAATGGTAACAATGATTACGCTGTTCCCCAGGAGCGTCAGGACAAACAGGAGGCAGACAGGAATGCCAATCCAGCAGTGAAACTCTTGCAACCCAGGAATACCAACCAGAAAAAAAGATAAAAACTGATAATGTGTAGCATTGTCTGTCATGGTAAAAATAAATTTTGCATGTTCATATACAAAATGTACATGCAAAGCCTGATGTGATGAAATGAGGGTGACCTAGGATCCTTCCAAAGGTCTTGTACATAGAGATTCCAAAAACACTCCTTTAGCCTCTCTGGGGAGCTGCCTCTTCTCCAACATTTCCATTAGCCTTTAAGTCAATCACTTCACCATCTTGATGCCCAGTGTCTTCATGTGCATATACAAAATGGAAATTAACTTTTTATTCTTTAATTTCTTGTGAATCATTTTATTCCTCACTTTGCATTTTTATTAGCAATAAAATAAATAGATCACTAGTTACAAAATGCTTCCATCATTTTTTCTAGTTTCTGTGGATTATGTGATAAAGTCTTAAGAAAAACAGAGGTAACATCTCTCAGAGATTTTCAATTAAGTGTGCAATTGCACATAGAATTGTACATATGCTTAGATGCCCAGCTGTTGTACAAAAGGTAATTATTGTATTATCAGTATATTAGTCCACTGAAAGCTTAATAAAAATAATCAAGAATACAAAATAAGAAATTTAAGCATGTAGATAAAACCAGTGTCCTTTAGATTGCTATAAATTACAAAATTCTACTAAACTCTATCTTTTCTGTATTATTTATTATAGAATAGATCTTATACATTTGCAATTTTGACAAAATATTAGAAGCTTTCCATGTAGGAAAGGAATATCCACTGACTGTAATACTCAGCACATTAAAAATAGATTGAGAGAGTTTGTCATTAAAATTGTTGTGCATGCATTGCCTTTTGTTCCTTCCTTCCTACTCCCTCTCCCACCCACCCACTCTTCCTTGCATTATTCCTTTTAGAATTGTTTGTTCTCTTTGACTTGGCCTTTATATGCAATTAAAAGCAGGAACTTATGTGACCTTATTAATTATCCCATATTACTGATCATATATTTTACAGAATAAGTAAAAAGTGTTTTTAGAACAATAAAAGAAAACTTAACTTTATTCATTTAATATATAAAGCTACCATACATAAATTATTCCATGCACAGCAATTTTCATTATATATTTTAAAATAATATGCTACAATAACTTATTTCCTTTACATAATGACTATGAATATTTTCATTGTTTCTGATATTAAAATTTAGAGATAAATAAGCTTAGTTGCAGTGAGATTATTGAACCTATTGTGTGTTCTACCCTTGATCCACACCCTATCTGCAGGATTTGGTATTCAGATTTTTACCCCATCACATGGCAGTGAAGAAAAAGTTCAATCAAACCAGTACTCCAGTTCTCCAGTCTCCTTGTGTCTTTTGTTTGAAATTTGTGCTTTGGTTTAGATAATTGCTCACTAACCTTCTCTCTCAGAGATTTCCTAGGGAGTCCTCTGATCACAGTTCTTAAATGTACACATTTATCTTCCTAACATTTTTTTATTCTCCCAATATCTAAATTGTTTGGCCTTGAATTTCTCACATAGGGAAGTTAAATGAACACTAATCAGTATTACAATTGATAATGCATTTTTGTCTGGATTTCTCAGAAATATCTGTGTGTTTAGAATAGGATGTGACTATTTTATTAGGAGACTTGTATTCTCCCATTGTATGTGCACACTACTATGTATGCTTCTGTATGAGGAAGTAAGAATTACAATTTGAATTAGTTATTAAAAATATTTTAGAGGAGTTAAGAGGTCCAAAGGGCATTGTCTAGAATATAAAAACTGGTGAAATAGGAATAAAATATTCAAATGGGAACCAGAACTAAAGAGGGTAGGATGGAGAAAAGCAGGATGGAAAAAGAAAAAAGAAAAGAACAAAAATGGAAATAAGACTTCTGTAATTAAGGAGGACAATAATGGTTGAAGGGACTGTATGGGAATGGGTGAAAAAAAGAATCAAGGTATAACATGTACAAGTACAAATTCATGGTGATGAATGTGATCATTATGCATAAAAAATAGATCAATAATTTTAATTAATAAAAAGTGCTATAGAGATTCCCATATCACAAGTGATTTTTTTAAATCCAGAGATGTATCAAAAATCTAGGGAAATCAAAACTAGGGAGAATTAACTAATAGTATGGATAGCTTAAACTATGCAAAGATTTCATGTTTAATAGAAAGTGTAATTGGTACCTTTTTGAGTCCATCCATGATGTTTCATAACTATTTCTGCTTTTGGAGGAATCAAAATTTCAAGAAATCAGTAGAGAACTGGTACCACAAGCAAAGCAAAATACCTAAAGATGGAAACAATTTCTAAGAAAATCACTTAAGAGAAATATTAATTATTTTGTGACACAAGCATTTACTTATTAACAGATTGTATTTTATTTGTCAATTATTTTTATTAAGATATTAATACATATAGATATGAAGTCACCTTGCCTTAAGCAAAGGAGAGTTTTCCTGAAGACATCGGATTGTATGATGGAGGAAATCTCAAGGAGTCCTCCATGTGCCACATTTACTCTACTGTGTATTTCCCTACCCTACTCTTCTGGTGAGTTTTGTGAATCTTCTGTGCGGTTCTGAATAAAATTAATGTGGTCTTTCAGAAGTTTTATGCGGCAGCTACACTACCAGTGGAGGGGTGAACTTTTGCCTTCACCTCCAGACTTTCTGCTCCTTGTGTCAGTCTCTGTTTCTGAAACATTTCAGAGCCATATTTCTGTTCCTACCTGTGCTTGGACATCTTCCATGCATCTGAGTCTGTTTGTGGAGTTCCTTATGAAGAAATTTCCAATTCAGAGAGCGAGGTATTTGTGGAACATGTGGCAGTTTCTACTTTGTGTTCTAAAATGAATATATATGGAGCATCTCAGGCTGAGTGTGCAAGGCTATACCACAACATTTCCTGTGTTTGGGTTGTTAACTACACAGAGGAAATTATTATGAAACACTGAGAGCAGGATTTCACTTCTTTGTTTGTAGTAACAAGGATTGAATGTAGGGCTTTTGGGCATGCCAGGAAAGCAGGCTATCCACCAGCTCTTTATGCAACTTCTAGTCATGACTTGATTTGTTCTAATAGATGTTATTATGTAATGTATTTTCTTTCTTCATATATGACTGTATTAATATATATGTGTATATGTGTGAATATACACATGCAAATGGATAAATAAGTAAATATTTTGCATTTTTATAAGTTCTTTCCAGAGATTATTTTTTCCAAATTTACTTTGAATACAAATCAAAGGAATTAAAATAGTTAAGAATAACCATATTTGTGAGCTACATTCTTTTTGAGCTATTTAATTTGTCCCAGGTAGTGAGGACAAATGATTATATCATGAAAAGGGTAATACCGATTGCCCACCAATAAAAGAGACCAAAAAAAATGTGGTTTATGTCTACAGATTCATCTTGATTCCATAATATTCTAGTCCATTTTCCCATTTTAAAATGAAAAGAATAAGTAAAAGAAAGAAATATTTCTTAACCTAGGTCCTCTTTTTAAAATACTCTATTCACTATGGTAACTACTATTCTTTAAAAAAAATTATTTAGCTATTTCTTATGTTTATTTTAATTAAGGGAAAAACTTAAAAAATTAGGATATATAGTAGTAACTCTTTTTGATCTCCTATTAACTTGTTTTGAAGTCCTGTAATACTCCCAAGATCTTGTTTTGACTGATTAGACTCTGTTCCATTCTGTGCGATAGTAGCAAGTTTGAAGGTATAGGCAACTAATTTGAAGGCAATAAGATTCACAAAGATGCCCATTCTGGTTTGACTATTGTCTCCTTTGGAAGTCCTGTAATGTTCACAATGCCTAAGTTTTATTGGTCTTGTTCTCCACTGTTTTGTCCGGCTTTATAATATCTAATGAGATGGACAATTCCTTTTAAGGAAACAAGAGACAATGTTGATAACCATTGTTGATGACCTTGTACTCTGTTCTACATCATGTGCTATGTCTATCCTTGGTTTGGACTTACAGCTTTGTTTTGTCATATTTGACTTTATTCTCTCCCCCCCAAGAGAGTAATGAGAACTGAGGAGTAATAAAATCCAAAATGTATAAATTTTGTTATAAAAAAGAGAGGGAGGGGAAAAAAAAAAGAGCTCTAACGGATATAACAACAAGTGTGTTTAGGGATGTTAAATAGCTGACTATATTAATGTTTTTGGATCATTGAACACAGCTGTTTGCAGTCTCTCCGTTTGAATGTCTACTTTGTATTCTTTGATACTGTGATTTGAGCAACTATTTCCAAGATGATATTATGTAATCTATTAACAGGTGATTTCTTACTGTTATGTTTTTTTTTGTAGTTATGTATTATGTGTAACCTTAAAAAAAAAAATAAAAAAATAAAATACTCTATTCAGGAAAGTGTTTCTCAACCTCATTTTACTTTGCTATTTTTCATCTTTTGCACTTGCACCCCACTGGTTTAAAGTGATATTTGACTTTTGCCAATGGGAGAGGAACTAGAAGATGGAGAGAAAGGAGAAAAAGGGCAAGAATAAAGAATTAATATGTCTCATACAGCTACCAGCTCCTTGTGGGGATTTGTAATCATTATGGAGTACAAACATGTTTTAATAGAATAATAAAATGTTAAAAATAAAACTAAAAAGCCTGACAAATGAAAGCATATCTTACAAAAAATAAACTTATTTCATATCATCATTGATGTCTAAATACTACTTAGTCCCAAATCCACACAGTGTTTTTCCAACATGACTTATGTCCTTGTAATTGCACTTGTTACATTAATAGTTGACTTTGAAATCTATGAACCATTTCTGCCACACTAGCCACTCCACATTCCACTCCTTTTCTGTAGTGATCAACTCCACTACACTGTGTATGATCACTCATAATTAGTGTTAGTCACTGTACTTCTGAAAACAAACTTCGCCAACTCCTTTTTCTATCATCTTGTAACACACAAAAGAAATTTCTCCTTTCTAGTTAAGCAGATATTATACCACTTCATGGCTCTATTAATCAAACTCAAAAGTCTTATACCATTTACTTTTTCATCTCCT